GAAAGAAAGGAAGGAAGGAAGGAAGGAAGGAAGGAAGGAAGGAAGGAAGAAAAAGAAAGAAAAAGAAAGAAAAAGAAAGAAAGGAAAAAAGAAAGAAAGAAAGAGAAAGAAAGAAAGGAAGGAAGGAAGGAAGGAAGGAAGGAAGGAAGGAAGGAAGGAAGGAAGGAAGGAAGGAAGGAAGGAAGGAAGGAACCAAAGTTCTATTTTTGGCTTTTCTGCCACTGACTCATAGTATTAACTTGAACCAGTGACCAACTTTCCTCTGCTAACTAAGCCTATCCACACAACAGTGAGAAAATGCTTCAGCTTCCCTATTTGAATGTTGGTCAACTGCTGAGATCACTTACATAAATATTTTTCTTTGAGCTCCCTAGAAGACAGGAACTTTATAAATATTTAGTATTATTGTTGCACCTTAGGTACAAGCAGACGGGAAAATTACGATACTCCTCTATTTACATAAGAAATAACCTATTTCAGACAATTCCAATTCATGCCAAGCAACTTCGCATTGGTTTGTTAGTGTCCCTTGGGCTTTCCTTTTTCCTTTCTCCTCCCCACCCTTGCAGCTGATGAATGTGGAAATATAAATAAACCTTCACAGCAGAGGGTAGGAAGGTGAGGAAGCTCAGCGTGAGGGTAGTCACACTGGCCCAGCTCAAGCTGTGTATCAGAACGGGTGAGGATTCAAAATAAACATTACATTTAAAATTCTTGATTGAAAAGTGTGAGAAAATGATTCATTTTAAGAATGAGTAATTTGGTTGAATGTTCTGTACTTGAGTAAGACCTTGCGACCTTGCTGAATCTTTAGTTTTGTCTGTTCTGTTTCTTTTTTGGATACATGTGGTGAGAAGAAACCTAAAAAATGGGATTGTAACTGGCATGTTTAGAGTCTGTTTGTCTCAAGTGAAGTCTTCCAAAATTAATTCACCTGTTTCTTTGCAAATTCTTGTCCCACAGGCTGTTCCTCCAAGATTTTAATGGGACTAAGTTCCGGAATGATGTTCTCAGAATGCATACAAGCATTATTTTTGGATGGTAGAATTTCAGGTGATCTTTTTAGTTTACTTTCTTAGTCATACTTCCCTGCAGTTCCTGACTTTTCTTCTTTAACTCAGGAGCAAGTATCATTTTTACAAAAACAATAGTTTGAAAAATAATAAAATTGAAACCCCTCACCACTGATTTCATTCTCCTCTCTGCCATATAGCCCAAGTTTTTAACGGACCTATGTTTTCTTCTTGTTTTCCTTACAAATTTAAGACAAGCCACCATACAGTAATTAATTTCCAAATTGGGAAAGTGAGTCCTCTGTGCAATTGAGTAGGCAGTTGGTGTTGATCTGGGGAACTCAGGCAGCTTATGAACCACACTTACATAAAATTTTCTCTTTTGTCTTCATTTACGGGGATAATTCAAACCAAAGCAGAGTGGGTCTCTTGCATATGAATTATGCTGATAATGTTCTGTTTATTGACCTAATGTTAAGATGATTTTATTAGTTTTAATATTTCTTGAGCACTCAGGGTGTTTTAGATACAATGTCAGTTACAGACAAACAAAAGACAATAACTTCACATTCAATGATTTTACTTAATGAAATAATAAAAACCATTTAAGACTTTCTCTTTTGTGTATCCATGTGTGGTCTGCTTTTCTATTTTTGCTTTAATACTAATGCAGAGCAGAACCTTCAACATATCTGGGGGCCAACCTTTCTCCCCACTGTCCAACTTCATAAAGAGGATGCTTCCAGGAGGATCTGTAAATGCATCTATTCACTTTTTCTATGAATATTTATTAAACACCTACTGCATGCTGGTCCATACTCTAGGCAATGCATTTGCAACCAGGAACCAGAAGCGGTTCCTGATCTAGAGAGGCTAATGGAGGAAAACAAGCATATCAACAGACACTGAAGTGTTAGCGCTGCAATCATGAGGTCTGGATGGAACATTTCATGAACACCACAATGGAGGAGCCAATGTCATCTTGGCAGAAGTACAGGAGGAAGTATCAGAAAATACTTCAGAGGGGAGAAAAGGCAAATGTGGCAGAGTGAGCAATCTGAAAAGGCACAGTGATGTGAAACAGCAGGGCTCTCTTTTGAAAATTCTAGAGGCAGTTTTCAGGTGTCTAGAGGGAGGGGTGAGTGAGGTGAGCGTGATGGAAGGTGGGGCTAGCACGTTAAACGGGGGGGCATGTTCTAGATGTGAATTTAGGACTATTAGAACCAACCTCAGGAAGCACATAGAGCTATGTGTTCCAGGCTCTTCCATGCTAGGAATAAAAGTAGGGTCACAAAGCAGGAAGCTTGCTTTTGATTGCTCTGGAATAATTGGGCTCCCCTAAAATCCTGTCCAATGTGGTCAGTGTGCCTCACCATGGTGCCAAGACCCATTCCTCTTGGCCTCCATTGTCCACCATTTTGTTCCTCTCTCTCCACATTCCTCTCCTCTTTATGGCTGGAGACAGCAGCAGTAGCCGTGGCCCTGGTGCTTGTAGAAACTCAGCTCTTTCTTGCCTTGTCCCACAGTTTCAACAGCCCTCTTCTCTGATGCTGACCTCTTGTCATTGGCTAAACCTGTAGACCTCCATCGCCTCTCTCCTTAGGATGGGTCCCCTCTCAGGCTACCCTGGAACTCCCTGGTCAGCAGATCCACTTGAAGCTTCCCTTCCAGACATGGTGACATGTGCCTGAATCTTTGGGAGAACAAAGTTTTGATGCAGGCTGGTAACTTTGGAAAAGTTCTGGGAAAAGAAATGGAAAGAGAAAATAGGAGGAAGAAAAAGCAGGCTGAACTATGACTTGAAGAGAGAGAACAGGATGTATAGGTGGCTTGTATGGAGCTTCCAAACCCAGAGTATTAGTATATATTTGTAGTATTCTTCTTATCTCTATCTTTTCAGTTGATATCTTCTATTATTTTTCTATTTTGTATTGTTTCTATGTTTGTAAACCACCTTAGAAGTTTTTGTTTGTTTGTTTTTAACCTGGCAGAATATAAATACATGACTAAATAAAGAAGGTAATTTGCCACATTGAGTAGTGTTCTGAAGACAGGAGTGATGTGGTCAAAGACACTTTTTGCTAAACGTGACTGTGGTCAGAACTTGACATAGCAGGAAAAGAGGATTTCAGATTATAATCTAAGTTCCAAATGACGCTTTAACCCTGACCTACGATGGCAAAGTAGTTTGGCAGTACTTGTCCCCTCAAAACCAAACCAAACCAAACCCGGGAGGAAGGCAGGCACCAGGGCGCTGACTCCTGCCATCAGGAGCGAGCCCTGGGAAGCCCTGGGACTCCCACAGGGTGACAGGGTGGGAGAAATGTCCTGGAGGAGATGAATGGTGTCCCTCCGTGGGCTAGGGGGAATCGCTGGGACATCGGCTTCAGAAAGTCAACTGCAATGGATAGGGAGGTGTTAAACAGTTGCCCTGACTGGGACTTCCTCTCACTGTCCCTCCACCAAAACCCAGAATTATCCCTTTTTCATCACTCAACTCCTCCCCTTCTCGGCTAGGCTAAACTTGCCCTCTGCCATCAGTTTCTCCTTTCCCCAGGGACTCACTCCCGCGCCGCCCCCCGCCCCGCCCCAACAAGCGCCCACGTTCTCCCAGAACTAGAGGGCTCACTCCTTTCCCCTGGGCCCCAGCCCCCTTTTCTCGTCTTCTGCCTCCTGCACTCAGGACGCCCCTTTCTTGCCTCCCCCCCGAGCCCAGACCTCGGGGACCGAGACCAGGGTGCGGGGCCACAGGTGGATGGGCCGGAAGACCGACGCGCCGAGGGTCGCCGGCTGCGCGGGAGCAGGAGCGGGAGCGGGAGCGGGTGGGGCCCCTCCCCGCGGGCGGGCGCGCGGCGGGCCGAGGGGGCGGGCCCAGGCCTCCCGCGCGCCGCCACCGCCCCTCGAGCCGCCTCCTTGCTCCGCCAGTCGGCGCGACCCAGGTGCCGGCGGGCAGGAGGCGCCCGAGGATGTGCGGCTGGCCGCTGCTCCTGCTTTGGGGGCTGCTCCCCGGCGCGGCGGCGGGGGGCTTGGGCCGGGCCCTCCCGCACCGCACCCTCCTCGACTCCGAGGGCAAGTACTGGCTGAGCTGGGGCCCCCGGGGCGGCCGGCTCGCCTTTCGCCTCGAGGTGCGCACCGCTGGCTACGTGGGCTTCGGCTTCTCGCCCACCGGGGCCATGGCCGCGGCGGACATCGTCGTGGGCGGGGTGGCCCACGGGCGGCCCTATCTGCAGGTAAGCGAGTTCCCCTTCTGGAGCCCGCCGCGCCGAGCCCCGTCCCGTCTCCCGCCCTCGGGGCAGGCGCGAGTGCAGGCGCCCCTAGGGCCGGCGGCTGTCCTCCGCGGCCGAGGCTGGAAGCCGTCGCTCCCACCCCCACCCCCCCACCCCCCGGCAGCCCTGCAGCCCTGCAGCCCGAACACCGCACGCGCTCCCCTTGGTGGTCGGCTCCCGCACCCCCGGAGCCAAGGGCGCCAGCGGCTGGGCTCTCCGCCTCCGCCGCCCGGCCCCGAGTTTTCGCCCGGGGAAGCTGAGCACGGGTGACCTCGGGCAGCTTTCCGTCTCTGAACACGTTCTTGTCCCCAGCGTCCCACTTCTCGTCTTCTGCCTCCTGCGCCCAGGACGCCCCTTTCTTGCCTCCCCCCCGAGCCCAGACCATTACTAGATTCCCCCACGTACACACCTGCCACGCATCCCCATTCATCCCTCCTGGGAAAGGAGAACGACCCTTCGGGGACCTAACGGGACTGCTGTCGGGGTTGAAGGGACCTGTGAACTTTAAGCACTCTGCTGTCTTGCTGTCTAGGACCAGGATCCCAGAATTTACAAATCGTAGCTATTCTGGAGTCCTCACGCACGGAGCTGAGGTCAGCTGCCTCACCTGAGAGATGAATGAAAGGTCCCCAAGTATCGGTTAGGAACTTTGCTATTCTGGGAGCCCGTTAGGATGACCATTCAGAGACCTGCACAACTGACAGTTCCCCAGGCAAAATCCTCTATGAAGTGGAGAAACTTTTCACTTATTTTAATAGCTAACAAAGTTAATTTGACAGCTGCCGTTTTGCTTTGAAAGAGTAGTAGATACATTGCCTGTTCATAGATATCTTTATGAATAGGAGGGGAGAAAAAAGAATTGTGAGAAAACCAGAATGATTAGGTGGTTAAGTTTTCTGGACATCTTTCTTTATTTGATCTTGACAACATCTGGACACTTTTCCACAGTTACATAACATCGTGGTGAATATACTCTGTTACTTATAAAAAGTTCATCCCGGAATACTGCTCTTTGCTAAAAGTCTCTGCTTCCAAATGAAAACTCCTTGCTGTTCTGGCATTGGGTTAAGGTTTTGATGATATTAAAATCAATGCACCGGATGGATACCAAAGTGCCTTTGTCAGTAATTTTATTCCTGACTTCTAAGTTTGATTTCCACAACTTTCTGGCTGAGATGCCATCAAATTTTAACCCTAATTCTGGCACTGAGCTATTAACTCTGGCTAGAAATAACAAAAATGACAGTAATAAAAACTTCAAAACCATCCTGTTGTCTGTTTTTTTCATAAATTAATCCTTTTCTCCCAAAATAAGTATTCTACAACTCCAATAAAGTTAAGTTTTATGAGGATTGTGCTTTGTTGAAGTCATTGATGTATAAATTTCCTCCTGTGGCAGCATTTCAAACATTAAATTTGTAAACCAAGAATTTGATCCCAGACACAGGCCTCACTAGCTGAATAACTTAACTCTCTTCTGATAATGAAGAGGAGAATACCTTATTTAAATACCTAATTGAGCCAAGTCTTTTTGTTTGTTTGTTTGTTCAAGGTGGAAAAGGTAATATGCCCCTTAACTATCCTTGCATGTTTTGTTGAAAGGGACATGGAAAATCTTTCTATGGTAATATCATAAAATAGGATATACTTTAAAAGATAACTTGATATTGTTTCCCCCCAAAGAGTAACATTTCTAGAAAACCCATCCAATTTGATTATCAAATGAAAAAGGAAGAGTAGAGTCCTGTTTCAACATGCCATAATTGGCCCACCACAAAAACAGACTTTGTTAAACTACAGTGTTTTCACACTGCTGGTGGTTCTTCATAAAGCCTGCATAAAAATTAACTAAGTGCTCTCTGGATTGACTTTGAGCCATAGAAGTTTTCTCAGAGTAATCAGTGAATACCTATCACTATGAGATAAACCTTAGAAATGGTCACTTTCCCAATATATTTAATAAGCAAGAAATAGGATTTTCCCCTCCATTTTTATTTCTAAGGAAATAAAATCCTTATTTTCATCTATAAATGATAATTATTTTCTTAGTGGACTGACATCCTTTACTGTTCCCTTTCCTTAATCCTACTCATTCTAGGACATATAAAATACACCAAAAATTATGCTAATCAGTAATATGGAAAGAAAATTGACTAAAAACCTCTTTAATAAAATGAAAGACACCGAACACTAAAAATAAAAGAAATGTATCAGCTCCATCTGGGTCATCCAGCCTAGGTGATTTTCCAAAACTTGAAATTGAATCTTCTCTCTAGAAACTATTAATTTGAGAGTCTTCACACAGTGGTGTGATAAGGATATCCTGAGCAACTATACCAAAAGGTGAATAGGGTTCTTAAACAGTGTATGTGATTCAGTTAGTAGACTTTGGATTTGATGTAATTTTACTCCCAGTGAGAATGAACTTTGCAAGACAAAGCATTGGCTTATGTGCAGCTGCTAATGGTTGGAGATGGCATCAGGCTGACTGATAATACCCTACACTGACATACGGGTCACCTCCCCTTGTGGCTTTTTCTTTTTCATATATGTTATGTCCTCCTTATTTAATTTTTAAAAACTTGAACTTCAGATATTTTTTCTGTCATTCTGACTTCTGTCTTTCTGGCTATCTTAAACTTTTTGCTTCAATAGGATATTAACTCCTGGATAACTGTGTGAGAATAAATTCCAGCCAACCAGTAGAAAATTGTTGGTTAAAATAGATGCCACAAACCCAAATGCCCATAGAGGTCAGACCGCAAGGATAAAAGAATGATGGGCTTGATGCAATGAAACAGACAGTAGAGAGGATCGAGGAAAAAAGAGTTCTTGTGACTGAGTTGCTGTTGTGTGGGAATGCAAATCAGATATTGGCAGATCTTTGGTTTTTGTTTTTGCTTTTTTTGAGAGAAGATGGAAATTTAGATGTGTGTAAATAAAATCTGATTACAAAATACTGGCCACAATTCAAGTTTGTACAAAGCACCACGTAGAGCACATATATACACAAAATTTTAGTGGAAATAAGAGCCCATGGACAAATTAATCTGGGGCCAAGAGGGAAAAAGCTAAGGTTAGTGAGGAATCAACCCAGATTATGAAAGGCAGAGAGGCAGGTTCCATTTCTCTTCAGGCCTGGCTTGTTCTGTGCAAAGAAATGCCCAGTGTCAGAGGGGACCTTGCCCAATTTTTTTAATCTATTGTATAACACAACACCCCAAAACATAGTCACTCGCTACAGTGACAGTTTGCTCACAAATCTGCAATCTGAGGAGGGGCTAAGTGGGGACAGATGTCTGCTTCCCTTGATGTCAACTCCAAGGTGAGTGGTTGGAATCATCGGAAGGCTCCCTTGATCACTTGCCTGACTGGCATCTGTTGTCGGCTCTTGGCTGGGCACCTCAGCTGATCCTAGGGTGGCAGTGTGGCCACTCCATGTTGCCACTCAGCTTCCTCACAGCTGAGTGGCCGGGTCGCCGTGGTGAACATCCCAAGAGGCGCAGGTAGAAACTGGATAGCAGCCATTTATAACTTAGCCTTTGAGTCATCTTCATTGTAGTCACATCTCACTGGATTCAAGAGGGAACATAGACTGCACCTCAGGATCACATCATAAGGAGGTCACAGGGGAATGGAATATATGAGTGTGGCCATCTTTGCAAAACACTTGCTTTCACACCCATCCCCACTGACATGTCACAGTCTCCTTCCTACCACCACCTTTGAGTACATGTCTACATGCATACACTCTCTCGACACTACTGAGATCGGGAGGCAATATTTACTTATTCACCTTCTTCCCTTTTACACACAGTCTCACACCACTCACAAGGAGTTAGTGAACAGTTAGTTCTCCTACTCCACACTCCCTTGCAAGTTAAGACTACGGACGCTCTACAACTCCACATTTTTCAGTGGTTGCCAATCACTAGTTCAGAGTTGGACCCAATGAGAATACCTCCAGAGGGCAGTGTGATATTTGCTTATAGGCTTCTGGAGTGGAAAAAAAATCAACTTCTGACTTCCTTGCCTCAAGGCAATAGGTTCAGCCACCCTTAAAACTATACCCAGAGATGAGGCTTTATATGGAAATTTGCCCTGCCCATTTTCTAACCCTCTGACCCAGTCTGAAGACAGTTCCTCAAATGGTATACAACTAGGTCCGATCAAATGGGAAAGGAAAGAGAAATGTGGTTGCAAAGTGAAGCAGGTCTCAGTATAATCTATCAGATACACTGTTGTGGAGCCGCTCCCCCTTGGGGTAACATGACCCCTGGGATGCTGCCGAGGTCATTTCTGCACTGTCTTTCGCAGGATTGCCAGGGGTGGGGGTGGGAAGCAGTCTTTCCTCTTGCTTTTGAAAACCTCACTATTTTGTCTCAATGAATTAACTCTCACTTCCCTGATGGATTCATGTCCTTTTCTTGTACTTTGCCCCTTTTTGACATAGTGCAATCCTACCCCCACCCCAGCCACTTAGCAACTGTGAGTCCCCATTTGAGGCAAGTAATCCGGGTTGATGAATGCCTAGTTTGTGTGAGTTAGAGAAGAGGGCAGCATTGTCGGATGTGCCCGTTGAATTTGCACAAAAATGGATTCACTCTTCCTTTGGGGGTAGAAATCGCTAGTGAATGGAGGCTGAAACATATGTCATCATTTGTCACAGCCTTGCTCCTGGGCTGTCTCTAAAACTGAAACATTTCTGTGATGAGAAGTAAGTCTTCAGCAGCAGGGTAATTGCTGCTGGGCTGTTCGCTGAGGAAGTGCTTGGAAATTGTGCTGTGATTTGAAATCACAGAAAACAGTGAGCATTCTTTGTGGTTAACTATGTGCTGCTTTTAAGCGCACCCCAGCCAACGGCTACAAAGAAATGTTTGGAAAGCAAATTGAAAAGCTGTAAGGGAAAGATGAAGAGAGTGTACAACCCTGACACAGCTCAGCTGGGGCTTTGTTAAGAGATA